AATATTTAAGATTTTATTAAAAAATTAGAGTTTAAAAAAATGAACGCAAGCAAATTTGTCTGTATTACAATTTAAGGGATAAATATTGGAATTTGCAAATAATTTTTTTCATTTATGGGTCATACCTTATATTGTTTCAGAGACTTTGTTAGATCAAAATTTTGTACTAGCTGCTGATTATGAATATGATATCATCATCATGAGAATATTATTAGAACAAAAACTTTTTGGTAGCTATGAATTTGATATTATTAGTCAGACAGTAAAGACTTGCAATAGAGAACATCAGGCAGAAATTCATCTGATTGATCAATTATAAGTTGATCTATTTATATGTTTGAATATTTTTTAAAAATATATTAATATCACTTTTGTTTTACTTTATATATGTCTATTTATTTTCTGAATATATATATTGTAAGTAGGAACAAAATTTAATTAATAATCTGCAAGTCAACCAGATAAAATGATCTGCAATCATTAAGTAAAATTGACGCAATTTAATTAGTAAAAACCCTAATTTGTAAATGTACAAATTTGTTTATATGTATACATAGTACAGTAGCAAAAATAATAATTTACCATTATGGGTATACCAGTCTAGAAATACTTTGAATAACAGGCACACCAAATTGGAAGGCCATTAAAGACCAATTACCCAAATAAACCAATTTGGGAGTTACCAAGGTTTGACGGTGAGATATGAGGTAAATGCGGTAAGTAACTAGATATAGTTTAAACATCAAATCCAGGTATAACCTAATACGTAGTAGGAATGTAGCATACTCTGGTAGGTTTAGGTCGTAGATAAAATTGTCTAAGCCAGTATAAGTTACTAAAGTCTAGGTTAGCCAGATTGTGGGTATAGAAAGCTCTAACAGGTTTATCTCGAGGATAAAGAGCTTTTTAAAATAGTTAAAGCCTGCTTTAAATCCTAAACCAGGTATTTAAAAATAAGGAGTCTGTACTGGATTCTTGCTCAGTTATAAAGGTTAACCTTATAGGTGCAGAGGGTTAAATAGATAACCCTCTAGTTAGGTTATAGGTATAGCATCTAGTGTAGAATTTAGTAATAAGCAGACTACTTAAATAGACAATCAAAAGTTATACATATGGCTAGTATATACTCTCCAAATATATATACGATATGGGCTATCCCGAAAGAGAGAGCTTATTGTATAATAAAGTTAACTAATAACTAAATAAAAGAAGATGACAAGAGGTCACCTTAACATCAAAAAAAAAATTTTAACTAGAATTCAAAAAATATTCAATAATATATAATTATTTATTTAAGATTTTTATCTTCAATTTCGTCCAGTATACAATTCTCTATTGGTCAAATTTAATTTATATGTTTAATGCAGTTTTAGACCATTTTGAATATTTTAAATTAAGTTCAGATTTTTGCAATTACAAATTTTATCAAAAATTTCAAAAATTTAAATACTAGAAGAAATTAATATTGTTTATATTTCAGATTCGAATTGGATGAAATATTTAGATTTTATCTAAAATATTAACTTTATCTAAAATTATGAATCTACTCACTGTTGAATCTAACTACTATTAAATTTGAAAACCTATATATCTATTGCTAAAATTGCTATTGGAATTAGACTCCTTACTATTAAAATTATAAACTTGCCTACTATTAAATTTGTGAGCTTACCCAATGCTAAATTACTAAATCATACTGTTAAGATCACTAACTTAGCCACTATAACTATTTAATATTAAAACCACAAATTCATCTACTATTAAATCTACTTACTGTTGAAATAATGAACTAACTCACTTGTTCTTAAATCATGAACTCATCTACTAAAATCAGCTTATGTTTGCTAGCTTATTGAAATAGGACTATCTTAGTAATGCTTGAATTTAAAATTTATATATCTGAAGTTGAATTTAACTAAAATTAGCTTCTGAAATTAGTTGGTTTTTTTGTATATATTGGCTGGTTATTTCTGGCTGGTGTAAACTTCAAGCAACTAGCTTCAAGTAAATATAGTTACTAAATTTAGATCTTAGAGAATATTAGAAATTAACTAAGTCATTATTTTATATTTTTAATTTTTTTTTTTTTTTAAAAGGTGGCATCTTTTGCCTAGATCTTTTATTATGTATATTATAATTACAGATTATATAGTAACTATAGTACAACTAGTAAGACTTTAGCTTAGAACTATTTTATCTACAAATATATATTTCTATTTAATCTATCTAATACTATTTTTAGTATATATTAGAATTTTTTATACTATTATATTATATTTAATATATTTCTTATATACTATATAAACTACCAGATTGGTGGGATTTTTCTGCTATTATATCTAAATACTTCTAATTTGGTATATATACCTATCTATATATAGGATTCTACTCAGATAAATTCTTAGACTGTTTCTTTAGTCATCTAGCTAACCTTTATATTCTTTAATGGTAGACTTATAGAGGTCTGTATTGGGTCCTAAAGCCTGGCTTAGCCTAGATCTGTTTAGTCTGGTTTGCAGGCCATGCCAGGCCAAACAATTAAATTTTATATTTGTGAGCTAGGCCAGATCTAAAATTTTATATTTGTAGACCAGATCGGATTTAAAATTTTATAATTGTAAGTTTAGCCAGATTAGGTTAAATTAAAATTAATAATAATTATAATTACAAATTAAATTAGATTATGATCTTTTGTTTATTAAAAATCTATTTTTAAATTAAAGTTTAATAAAGATCTCTTTGATTATTAAAAATAGTATTTTTATAAATAAAACCTAAATATCAAAACTCTCCCTAATGATTTCTTGAACCAACTAGTATCGAAAGTAAGTTGAAGACTCAAGGCCAGAAGTTAATAATAACTTGAAGTTTTCTTAATACAAACTATTGTTAACAAAGTCTTTAAACGTGATATACCAAGGAGTAGGCATTTTGGATGATTTGCAAAAAGGTAAAGCCTTGTTCTTTTGCTTCTTTAGTAAACTCTCTTTTGCATTCAATATCCAAACCAGAGGAGTCTCTGAAAACAGCAAGTAGAAAAGAAAACTCAGAAAGTTTGAAGACTGAAAGACATGACGAACTTTTGAAAAAACTCTTTTTAGTTAAAAACTCACAGTACCAAACTCTTCTTGCCACTTTGATACTTCCAAAACTATTTTTTAACAAAAAGTAAAAATTAGGCTACTCTGTCAAAAGATCAGCATTGTTTATCACTTCTATATTTGGTAACTCTGTAACATAAATACAACAAACACGTGGCTACATAGGAAGTAATTTATTTCTTATTTGAAAACATGGATTTGAATATTAAGGATTCAAAAGATTTTCAAGAACTTATACACCAAGTAGACGAGACAAGGTAAATACAAGAAGAACATATGGAGTCAATACTTTTGTTATACTTTGAAATGGAATATAGATTTAAAAGTTGAAGTAATAAAGAGAATTTGAGATATGCAGTTTAAAAAGTCATGTGTATATAATTTTTAGCCTTAGTACAGGTTAAAGTGTACTTAGTTAGTTTTTTTTATATCAGCTAAGTTCTATATAATTACTATGATCTTGTAGATAAGTATTCTGGTTAGCAGGTACCAATTTGTTAGTTAGTTTCTAAAGTCTTGTATTGTATTATTTTTTCTTCCTCTTTTTTTTAGTACTCACTTTCTTATATATTCTTTTTTTAAAATATCTCCTTTTTCATATTCCCTTATTCTATTTTGCTTTCTGAATTTTTTTTTGTTATTAAGAATTTTCTTTCAGATTGGTAATATATTATATAGGGCAGTGATCTTGACAAGGTCAGTAGACACCTACTACAAACTCTTGGGGTATAAATTCTCAGTAAGTTGAGAATCTCAGACAAGGTAAAGACAAACTACTTAGGCAGGTTGCATATGGGTCTTCCTTGTAGAATCTATTTATAGATTTTTGTTTTACACACCAGGTGATTTTTATTAGTACAAGCATATATAGTTCTACTAGATAGTTTAGCTATTACAGGGATATTCTATGCTGATTTAATTAATAAAGAAAGAATTGTTGAAACAAAAAAAAAATAAATAAAACTTAAACCAAACTTTAATTAAGTTTAAGTTTGATTTAATTTTTGAACTAAACTCAAATTTTTATATTCAAACTTTTTAGTTAAGTCTAATATCTATTTAGTTTTAATTTGAAGTTTGTAAATTAGATTAAGTTTAAATATATATTTATGAATTAAGTAAAATACCACTATAGCGATAATCGCATACTATAAGATCTGGTGTAATGTGAAATCAAAACAATAAATCAATTCGTTAGTTTAGGGTTAAAGTGAGAGTTAGGTTAGAGTTAGGGTAGCATATTTTACAAAAAGTTTCTAATCCAAAATATTATAAAGAATTTTTTTTGTTAGAGCACAAAAAATAGTTTCATAGGCAAAATTTCACATTATGGGTAATTTTTGAAAAAAATCATAATTGCTTTGATTTCATATTATACCTGATTCTGCATTCTAATTAGTTAATCAGGGTAGTGATATATCACCATAGTAATATTTTACAAAATTCTATATTTATATATTTTTTGGTATTAAACAAATTTACTTAATATATAAGTTAGAATTAATTAGTAAAACTTTGAGAATAATAAGATTTTATAAAATTATATTAATAAATTCTATAAAATCTTA